ACATAACATAAGCTTCAATTTAAGGTAAAATTCAACCACAAACGCTTCACAAAACGCTTTAGTGTTCTTTTAAATATTGTTGTATTGTTTTCTTTTAATATACTGTAATTACTTTAAAAGCCGATCGCTGCGTATAAATATGAAACAAGACAGCATGTTATTTCAATGTTTCTTTATTGATTACCCTTTTTATTATAATAAGCAAAGTTATTTGCATGCGAGAATTAATTGGAATCATTTTATTTCGAACTCAAAGTTTATCGATAAAGGCAAATATACCTTCGTTCTGTGTTGGTGTAGTGTACTCAGGTGAATATGATATTTGTGGTGCTCGCCCGGTGTGGATATACACTCAGAGTAACACCACAAATAAAATATACCTTCGTTAACGTCGGCGCCTTTACTCTCTTCTTTTAGCAATTCTTTCGCCTTTATTTTATCAAAAAGCTTTTGAAAATTACAAAATCTTGCAAAATGAAATATATTTGCAAGAAATGATCAAATCAAGAAATGTTTGCTATTTCGCTGTCGTCATGCAGTCGTTATAATGCAAATTTTAAATTGGACCAATCAGTGTTGGCTATTCATGACAGTTGGCTATTCGTGACGCTATATTATGAGATGAGTGAGGATGACCACCCACGCACAGTGACCCACGCCCGCGATCATTGATGAACTTTAGACTTCGCTAATGCTTTCGTCTCTCAGAGTGCAAATAGCTGGGCGGAATTAGTACCCTCGCACGTCGGCTCGGGGAAAAATAATTTGAAACATGTAGACGTTCTTCACTTCTTGACGGCCGCCACTTCATGATCACAAACTTACGGAGGACGGCACAATAAAAGTCCATACAAATTACAAGACCAACAGAGTTCAGCGAAATCATATCGAAAAACACAGGAAAATTCAAGCGCATGCGCAATTTGGCACAACGGAAATATCACCCACATTGACAAATTAAGTAAATTACAAAAAAGAGCAGCACGTGTTATCACTAACTCAGGGTATGACATAAGATCAACAGAGATATAGATTGAATTGGGAGCCTATTGCAAATATCCTCGAACAACGTGAACAAACAATGACATTTAAGACACCAAAATATTTAACAGAAATGTTTACTATTTCCCAGAACGACAATTATGCATTGAGAAGTAACGAACGAAAACTTCACTTATCAAAACCAAACACTAACTTCCTTAAGAAAAGTTTTTCCTACCGCGCAGCAGTGTCATGGAATAAACTTCCAAACGAAATTCTCGAGGAACATGAGCATCTTTTATTGAATCAGTTCAAAAGGCTTATTAAAAATTGCTAAGATAGCGAAATTTTCCCGAAATTTTATCGAATGTTTATTTGCATTGTAAGGTCGTTATATTAGTGTGTTATACTTTAGGTTTAGATTTAGTTTTATATCTTTTCAATAGTGTTAGACCACGGCCCTTTGAAAAACAGGCAACTGAAATGAAAGGTTACCGTGGATAAATATGTTTAAATAATAATAATAATAATAATAATAATAACAATAAATGAAATATAATAAAATACGTTCCATAATTACAGCGTCTAAAATTTGTAACGTAGTTAAGGTTACAGGACACCTTTTTTGGCGCTTTGCGGAAAATCCCTACTGCGCGCTCAATATCGGTCCGATTTTCATCAAATTTTCACCAAATGTTCTCCAGTGCATGCAAAATATGATTAACAAACAATAAAATAATGTAAGAATTATTCAGGAAAATCTTAAATCGCGATACCGTTACGCTTTTGAGTTGTACTCCTGCTGGTTTTAAGTTATATTTATGAAAATATCATTTTTATAACACCGCGGAAAAACGTCTGCGCATGCACCAAATTATGAAAATATGGCGGGGAATTTGAATATCAATTTCTAAAACATAAACATGCTTATTAAGTGGTCAAAAATTAGTAAAACAAACGAGAAAATATAGCAAGTGGGTAGACTAAACATTAATTGAAAGCGTCCTGGCATTTAAAGTATGGAATGAAATATAATTCATGTAAAAAATTGTTGCTTTAATTTAACGGACACGACTTCGAAAATTTTTGCAAAATTATTCAAAACAAAAATTCAAACTAAAAAGTTAAGAAAACTCTCGAAAAGTTAAGCTTCTTAACCCACTCAAATTGTATAATAAATCCTAAAGTTTAATTACTGTGAACACGGAAATTTTTTATATTTGGCGACACAGTTTTTTTTAAAGAAATGTATCTCAACCGAAAATTCGGAAATTGTGGCTGCTTAGTTGATAAACAAATTGTTTCAGACGATAAATTTGTTAACAATCACCTTTAGTTCATGTTCTTGCACAATACAACTTCTTGAACATTCTGGCTGTATTTATTCCTAGTTTTTAGAATGACATTTTTATTTTTGCGCTCGAAATCTGGCTGTAAAGATGCACAATGAAGTCACTCCTTTTTACCGCCATTTTGAGCCTTCGGAAACGTTCGGAACAGCTGCTTCTCATCAAGTTCGCAATACTATTACAGGTAAGGTTGACGCATGCGCAGACGTTTTTCCGCGGTGTTCATTTTTATACAGTAAAATAGTTGTTCTAAAAAATTGTGTTCGGAAATTTTTGTTTATTTTGTCATTCCGCTGATATGGCGATTTCTTTGACGACTGCAATATATTTCTGAATTGTTTGAGTGAATTGCTCTTTATTTTTACAATATCCAAATTAAAAAAAAGCCGAACACCATTTTGAAACTGACGTCTTTAGCTATGCTCTGTGAAAATTTGAGAACAATTGGTTAAAACCCGCAGGAGCACAACTCGTTTGAAAATCAGTAATTACCGGAAACTTTTTCGGGAGGAAATTGAATTTGAATACTACATTTTCAATGTTTTTCTTATTGCAGCGAAATGAATTTTATTAAATAACTTTTATTAAATAAAGTTTTCAACATTTTTCGTTCAAACTTGGTCAGATAGTAGAACTAGTCTAATGCTTTCATGGAAACCAATAAAAAAATTTAGGCAAAATTAACACTCAAAGGTGTTCTGTAACCTTAATTAAATACGAGATACGCTCTGTTTAACATTGTGTAGAATTGGCCCTAATCAGCGTGAGATGTTTTGGCTAAATTGCGCAATCCTGAGCCCACGATGCCGCAATGGAAAGTCACAGTTGCGACAACAACAAAAAAACCCCGAAAAAACCAGCATTTTCAGAACCGGCATTCCATGACACTGGCTGTAGCCTGTGTTACAGCCGTTACTCTCGACAAAGCGCGCGACAAAACATCTGTGAGTTGGATGCATAATCCTTGTTCAGATCACGTGGATAGTTCCCAGATTAGGGGAACGGCCCATGATTGGACAGTGCTTTATTTGAATAATTTATGACAAATTAAGCTATTTCATTGGTTAATTGATAATTAGCAGGCGTTTAAAATAAAAACTCAAAAATTTTAAAATTCCAGATCAAGAGTCAAGCTTTCCTTCGGCGCATACAAAGAGTTTGAAAGACTAAAAATATAATTTGTAGAGTTTAATTTTATGCTGTATCGAAGTTTATGAAAATCAAGATAAAATTCTTGCGAACAATGCCGACAAACATATAAAATGCAAAAAACTATCGGACGGAAATTGACAATTTAATAAATTAACAATCTGTTTATATGTCCCGATTCCTCGCGCTAAAAGCATTTTCTTTACATGTAAGGTGTTTAACTTCGTCTTACTTGACCAGTTAACTTGCATCTTTTGTTTTTATATTTAATACTTTCTCTTTGTAAACAAATATACGCTATATATATGTAGGCCAAGAACTGAGCTTGTGCACCGGACTTGCTGGCAATGATCATCGTTCAGCATTGTTCAGACAAATCTCTTCATCGAGAAATATATGCATATATTTCTGTTGTATCGTTTTTCAGATTGTATTTCATAATCAAGTCTTTCAAACTTTTGTATGACCCGAAGGAAATCTTAATTCTTGATCTGGAATTTTAAAATTTTTATGTTGTTATTTTAAACGCATGCTAATTATCAATTAACCAATGAAATATCTTCATTTGTCAAGACATAAATTATTCAAATAAAGCACTGTCCAATAAGAGGCCGGTCCCCAAATCTGGGAACTATCCACTTGGCCTGAACAAGGATTATGCATCAAACTCACAGTCATTCTCTCGCGCGCTTCGTCGAGAGTAACGGCTGTACACAGGCCAACTCAGGCTGCGGCCAGTGTAATTAATATTATGACCGAAACGAAATGCAGGTCCCTGTTTGAAATCGTTCGGGTAATCGGGTCGCATATAGACGGGGAATAAGCTGGCGCGCATTTAATTGTTACCACCGACACATCCACCGACGGAGATGTATTAATGACCAATTGCGGAATGCGCAAGGCATCATGGTAGTTTAGTTACACAGCAAAATTTTTCAACATGGCGCTTATACTTTCCGAACGAGAGAAGGTGCTAAACACATGAGAATTGCACGAAAACTTTCATCATTTTCGCTTTAGTTAAAGTTTTACTAAAACTGTACGGCTTGTTTCATATTTCCACAGCGCTTGGACTTCTACAAGCGAGGGCAGTTGAAATTTTTAACATTGCGTACAAAGTCACTGAAGCGGGAATATACCATGCACGATATATTTTTGTGGAAATGACACTGTAATAGTGTGACTCGTCACAAATCACACTTCTTTACGCATGCGCAAAATTACTCTGGGTCACATTGGTCACACTAGTGACACTGGTCACACTGGTCACAATGGGTCACATTGGTCACACTAGTCACAATGGGTCACACTGGTCACAATGGTCACAATGGTCACACTGGTCACAATGGTCACACTAGTCACACTTGTCACAATGGTCACACTGTTCACACTGGCCACAATGGTCACACTGGTCACAATGGTCACACTAATCACACTGGTCACAATGGTCACATTAATCACACTGGTCACGCTAGTCACAATGGGTCACACAGGTCACAATGGTCACAATGGTCACATTAGTCACACTGGTCACACTAGTCACACTTGTCACAATGGTCACACTGTTCACACTGGCCACAATGGTCACACTGGTCACAATGGTCACACTGGTCACAATGGTCACACTAATCACACTGGTCACAATGGTCACATTAGTCACACTGGTCACACTAGTCACACTGGTCACAATGGTCACACTGGTTACAATGGTCACAATGGTCACACTTGTCACACTGGTCACACTGGTCACACTAGTCACACTGGTCACACTAGTCACACTGGTCACACTATTCACACTGATCACACTGGTCACACTGGTCACAATCGGTCACACTGGTCACAATGGTCACAATGGTCACAATGGTCACACTGGTCGCAATGGGTCACACTGGTCACAATGGTCACACTGGTCACACTGGTCACAATGGGTCACAATGGGTCACACTGGTCACAATGATCACACTGGTCACAATGGTCACAATGGTCACACTAGTCACACTGATCACACTAGTCACACTGGTCACAAAGGGTCACAATGGGTCACACTGGTCACAATGGTCACACTGGTTACAATGGTCACAATGGTCACAATGGTCACAATGGTCGCACTGGTCACACTGGTCACTTGGTCACAATGGTCACACTGGTCACAATGGGTCACACTAGGCACAATAGCCCTCTATCCTTGCATCCTTCTGGACAATCTTCTGGCGAATGTTTATATACAGATTTAGCTCTGTTTTTGTCTACTTCTTATCTTTCTCTATCAACCCAAAAACTACTCTGCCACTCTCCCTTAACTACCACTCTCCCTTAGCTCTTCCTCATGTTCACTGTTCCAAAACGCACCCACAAATTCTTTCTCTCCAAAGCCTACAGAGTCAGGGGGGTTGTGAAGAAAAGAAGATATTAAAAACAAACATGACATTTTGTAAAATATTGACATGAATGCAGGACAGAGCGTAAGTAGAGTCTAAGTATATGCTGGGGAACTATATAAGGACATTAAAACTGCTAACTAACTAAAATGACTGGCTATTGAAATTAAACTCATTAAAAAGAAGTTATGAGCACGGAATCTTCCGAGTAATTCTGCTGATAAATAGAAGCAGTAAAAATAGGTCAGAGCCAGGATGCAATATTAAATCGGTCGTTCACTTTCTGGTCTAGATAAAAACTGATACCGCATTCAGTCAAATGTGTCGTAATACACAGTAGATAACACAAGCACACGGTGTTGTAATAGGCCGGTCGATATTCTAATAATATAGGCTGTGCGAGCCTTAAGAGGCTGTCTCCGTAAAAACCTCCAGGTCAGTATGGGGCTCAAAAATAGATTTCTCTCATACTCTAGTATTTTGAAGATCTATCCTTGGGAACAACTAAAATCGATGTCATTTTACTCAAATTTCCTTTAAATTATTTTTGGGGGCGATTGATGTTCGATCGACTGGTAACCAACTTGATACTCCGAATGAAGGCCAAATATCGACATATTTTCAGCGCTATTTTTTAAATCAAATTCATACCTAAATTTGAAAATTTTTGCTCAGAAATATATAGACTTATCCTTCTATCTTCGCGGGTGATATGACTTAGATCATTATTCTTTGGTATAAAATGGAAAACAGCGCAGTTATTGACCCTCTTGAACGGATAAAGGATATCGTCTCAAAATATGTCAACTTCGAAAGCTTATTTCAAAATCGTGGCACTTGATTGGCACATGACTTTAACTTTTCTATGAACTACTAACATTAGTCAACACAAATCGCCAATAATATCTTTCTGCTCTACCATTTGACAAAAATGACAAGCGCGCAAACTTTGTAAAATTTGAGAATGTGTCGAAATCGAGCATACTTTATTGGTAAACATAATTCTTGATATTAACAAATAAAACCACCTTACACTACACTGAATGAAGCTTGATTATGTAAATATATGTCTTTCATCATTATTCTTTGGTTTTGCACTCGAATGAAATTGTTTGACTGTACAGTTTGGCTTCAAGGATAGTCATTCAATGCCAGTGTGTCCAGTGTGTTCAAATTCTGCGCGCCTCAATGCCATCACGGCATCAGTCATGATTGTGACATACGAACTTCGCTCTGTTCGCTTTGTTTACCTCCTGTAAATAAAATGTCTCAAAGAAATTAGAAAATTCAGAATTAGTCATACTACAGACATAACTTTCGTTGGTTTGTTTACCTTAAACTGTTATATAAAGTTTCGTTTTATAGAATGTACGAATTAATCTCGGGGAAAACTCCTAACCGAAAGAAATGCATGTACTCGCTGAGCGTAAACATGTCAATCAAATGACGATGAAATGTTTCGTTGCTCTCTGATTTCACTTTCTTTGTATTGATTTAAATAGTAGTCTTAGACAGTATTGCACGAGGTTTTTGTGTTTACAATAATGGTGTTCTACTTCTACTGCAGCCGCAATTTGTGATCATGCAACGTTAAGCCTTAAGGCCCTATCACACTATTGCGTATGAGAGAAACGTATGAGAACCGTATGAAAATTAATGAAATCATTTTCATACGCACAAAAATCCTTTGAAATGCCAGCGTATGAGTACCGTACATCTGGCGTACCTCTAGCGTATTCAGCGTGTGCCTAAAGTATGCTTATCTTATAAAGCATAAGTCCAATACGCACAAAATTTTTGAACATGCTTAAAAAAAAATTTCTGCCTCGGCGTATGCCAGCGTATGCAACCGTATGCAGTGGCGTGCTGGCAGGGGGGGTCGGGGGGCCACGCCCCCCCCCCAGCTGGCAATTCTTGGGGGGCGCAAAAATGAAAATGGGGCGCCGAATTTTGAAAGTGGGTGGGAAAAAACACATTCTCGAAAAAATATGGTTACTTCCGCCAAGAAAAGACGTGTTTATAGGCTACGGTATAAAACAGACTAAGCGCATAGGCGACATATATTAAATTACAGACTATTTTGCCTAACCGTATTTCTACCTCACAGCTCACACGAAATCGTTCATATAAAAACATGATCAGTGATCACAGGCAATGTCTCATTACCGGAATATTGGTCAGGTTTCGATCGAAGCGATCACGGGAATTATGCCCTTTTTTGCTGGTATTATGCCCTTATAATATGCCCTTTATTATGCTTCACGAATCACGAGGGCGGCGCAAATTAGATAGTTGAAGTTATGATAACTGATGTAAAGTTGTGTACGCAATTTAGTTGTTTGCACAAGAAGCATGAGTAATGTAAGTAATGAAATAATGCTGAAACATGCCCTTTGGGCAGCCAGGCAAAGAAACCTTAAAATGCATATGCGTGGGGTGCGTGTGTTATTGTATAAAAGAGCTTTAAGTTGTAAATGTGCTCAGAACAGTAGATCAGTAGAGAACAGAATTGGGATTAAATTAATCGCTGGAAGTAGTTAGCATTGCATAATTTAAGTACTACTACTAAATCCTAACCAAATTGCAAATTTCGACACGTTATAATGCCGTTTCCTGACCATCAAATTTCTGTCAAATCTTCCCCCAAAGTCCAGGAAATGGCATTTCAGAGACTCTAAATTCAAAACACCACCAAACCTCGCACCTGCGACACTAGGCTCGTGCCTTCGGCTCTCGTTTATCAAGTGTAACATTATAGGGGCGCATATTGGTTGGCAGCCCACTGGCCCCTCCAGAAAAATAGTACCCAGCACGCCACTGACCGTATGCGACCGTGCTTGAAACGTATATAACCTATGCCTAGCGTACCCCTAGCGTATGTCAGCGTATACCGGCGTATGAGTGATATTTTTCATACGCTGGCATACGCTAGTACGATACGCAATAGTGTGACAGGGCCTTTAGGTAAACCTAAAGGCCCTGTCACGCTAATGCGTATGAGAGAAACGTATGAGAAGCGTATGAAAATCAATGAAATAATTTTCATACGCACAAAAATCCTTTGCAATGCCAGCGTATGAGTACCGTACATCTGGCGTACCTCTAGCGTAGTGAGCGTGTGCCTAGAGTATGCTTATCGTATACAGCATACGTCCGATACGCACAAAATTTTTGAAGAGGGTCCTGAAGGGATAAAATGGGAACTGGGATTGATCTATTTTTAGACTGGGAAAATGGGATTTGGGTTGCTGGGACTGGGATTTGGCCACTGGGAATGGGAAATGAAGTCCTCAAAAATGGGAATGGGATTGAGGTAATGCCAGTCGATTCCCAATTTTTCTAAGTTTTAAGTATTTTAAAATGCACTTTTGATCCGTTTTTGGTGTCTTTGGACAACACTACCTGCGAACAGGAAAACTCTGGCGCCCTGAATTCTGGGTTTTCTGATTATGCGTGTCCCTAAGTCAGATGCACAACCTCGTACCCAGGGTCTTTCCTCTTGCGGAGCAAAGACCCTGGTAGACGCTGGTCACGTGATCTGCTAAAATCTAGCAGATTTCGAATTAACTATCTTGTTTCTTCAGATTTTCACTTATACTTTGGTATTTCAGTTTGTAGCGTGTCAATAGCGTGCATCCAAACAGGAAATAGTACAAATTGACCCCCAAACAGGAAATAGTCAAATAATGAGATGCTTGCATCAGAAGGGTCAAAGTACCCCCCGAAGCATGCTTTGACGTGTATTTGGCAATAAATACGGTAAGCATAGTTGCAAGAAAATTGAAAAAATTGCAAAAATTGAATCTTTCAGAAATTCAGGTTTTGGAAATACTTTCCCAGATCAACCAATAGGGCATTACATTGGAAAGGTTTTCTGGTTCTATCTGAGCTGTATCTGAATGCTGGGCTTTGTAGATAATCCAAGTGAGCATGTATAATAGTTTATTTACTCGTACTCGCTTCATTTGGTAAGTACTAAAGTACTGCTAGTTTCTACTAGCGTGGAATGTTAAAGCTGAAACTTGAGAAAAAAGTAAATTCACAATAATTTACTAAAATGTGGAAGTTTTTTTCAAAAAACTGACGGACAATAACTCTCTTCATTGGCATTGCCACAATCGTGAACGCGAAAAAAATGATAACTCTCTAACATCTTCATAATGTTAACGAGAGAGAGTTACGTCAAACATAACTCTCTCATGTTAGTTCAAGGAAACATCGGGAGAGTTAAGAAATTGGGTGTGGTCGTTGGGAAAAGTGGGCGTGGTTTGGGCGTGGTTCAAACGT